AAGAAAGCCATCGAAACCATTGACAAGAATATTGTGAGGAATGGCGTCACCGATAGAGTTGTGTCCAATCAATCGGACGCCGCGTATGTGAAGACATTTTATTGATTTGTAAATCTAAACCTATTATAAACACAAAGTGTTTGCAATGAATAGACTATTTATGGTGAAGAATCGTAATATGAAGGATAGGTTTTCGATCATCGATCTCGACCCCTATGGAAGCCCTTCTCCTTTCTTGGATTCGGCGGTACAGTCGCTGGCAGAGGGAGGAATGCTTATGATTACGTGCACTGATATGGCTGTTCTCTGCGGTAATCACAGTGAGGTCTGTCACGCAAAATATGGCTCAATTCCACTCCGATCTAAATCGTGTCACGAAATGGTTTGTAAACTTAATTCAAATCATTATTTTTAAATGTTTTTTAGTGTGAATTTTTTATATTAAATTAATTGATAGGCTTTGCGTATAATTATCCGAAGCGTTGAATCCCACGCCAATAGATATGGCAGATATATTGTGCCATTGGTTTCATTGAGCGTCGATTTCTACGTCAGAATATTCTTACAAATCTATACCTCTCCTCACGAAGTGAAGAGAAGCGCCAGGTTTTACCATCATTTTGCTGTTCTCATTGCTCTCAATCTAATGATAACTTTATACCCAACAGTAAACTATCGTATGTCTATCAGTGCACAGGATGTGAATCCATTGAATTACAACCACTTATTCAAAACAAAAGGTAATCAAAAGGGATTATATGGAAAATTTTTTACTGAAGTCTCTTTTCATTGGTCCATTTGTAGGCATTCAGAAGATAATGCCTATAACTTTAGCCCAACGGCACCCAAAGTTGGCCGAAATTGCGAGCATTGCGGACACACGTATCAAATGGGAGGTCCGATTTGGTCGGCGCCCATACATTCCTCACAATTCATTAGTCAATTGCAGAAACAATTATCCGATTTTAATGAACAATCATTTGTGACACACAAACGAATGCATGGAATGCTTCAGGTGTTGAGCGAAGAGCTGATCGATT